TTAGGTATGAGAGGAGCACAACTCCCCTGTGCTGGAACACTTCTAGAACTTTCTAAGGATGCCTGTAGTAAGTACACTGGCTCCTGTCTTGTCTCTTGTTGTTGTTTTGTTTGTTTGTTTGTTTGTTTGTTTTGTTTTAACTCTAGAGCTCACACTGGCCTTAAACTCAGTATGAAGCCCAGGCTGGATGCAAACTCTTGGTAATTCTCCTGCCCTAGCCTCCCAACTGCAGGGATTACAGGCCTGTGTGGCTCCCAGAGGGTCTTTTCTTACTAAAACCTGCTTTCCCAAAGCAGTACCTAGGATGAATGCTGCTCTGGAGATCAGACAGCTATCAAGGTAAATGTGGTGAATGGCACAAACCACAAGAGTTCTAGTTGGGCAGGTGCTCTGCTCATAAGATCGGCCCACTTATAAGGAAATATGGCTTCTAAGACAGAAATATTCCATGTCCTTCTAAAGACCCCTAAATCAGAAATGCTAGCCAGATGTGGCCGGTGCGGTGCACATCTGCAGTTTCATCATATGGGAGTCAGATGCAGAAGGATGAGCTTGAGGCCAGCATGGTGTAAAGAACACAGTCTGGGCCATTCACGGCCACACAGCCAGACTGTGTCTCAAATCAGACATGTTATCATCTGATGCTCGAATAAAAAACCCTACCTTTTAAATTTTCTTTACTTGGTTATTCCTCTACCCAAGAGCCTTTTTAGTAAATAGCCTTAAAGCCTATTAGGTGTAAAATACATGTGCATAAACACCTGTACATTTCTGCCCTGCAGATACCAACCAGAGCACTTCTCTTCTGCATCGCAGAACAGCTCTCACACCTACGCCCACTTGAACGAGAAAAGGCACTCAGGGAAATCCAGCCACGTCTCTGAAGCTCATGTTCAAGAGTCTCATCTGCCCTTAGCATTGCTTTGGGAACCCACGCCTGTTTGCTCACACTTAGCTAATAATACAAGGATCTAGCCTGTTATGCCTTTTTGCTTTCTAAGCTCCTAAATTGAATGAAAGGACAAAAATCGGATCTCAGTGGCAGAACACCTGTTTAACATGTACGTGGTCCCTGGTTCGATCCCGGCACCCAAACTAAAACTGTAATGGACCCTTGGGAGAATATACTACTTGAGTATGTCTCCTCACACAAACTTAATTCACAAACAGCGTGACTTCTACAGGCAAAACTGTGTCTAAGTATTAGGTAAAGAAAAAAACAAAAGAAGATTTAAAAAAGTTTTTCTTTTTCAAATGTGACCTTAACTACATAGCCCAGGCGATCCCTGTTTCAGTCTCACAAACATTGGGGATTGTGGGTACCAGCATCAAAAAATAAATAAATAAAATGCATTTGGCAAATTATGATATTGTGAAGTACACATTTGCTGTTTGTCTCCATTTCCTGGCTTACAACGTTTGAAACTCTTGGAAGTAGTAAATGTCCTTTGATACCAGAATTGACTGACTGATAGCAGGAGTCCCCACAGTTTCAATGCAGGACACATGAAGGTGAAATTTATAGGTTCGCTCATTCAGACTATACTCCAGTCTCTGGGAAGAAGAGGTGCTGAAGACCAATGGTGGACAATGAGGTTACTGAGTATGCTTATTCAACGGGCTTTCATAAAACCTCAAAGCAACGGAGCTTGTGGAGCATTTAGACATGAGGAGGATCCTGAAGGCCAGCCTGCCCAGAGAATGCCGAGGCTCTGTACCCTCACTCTCCCTCCAGACCCTACACGGCTCATCCTGCTGCCCTCTCTACTCTTTGCAATGCCATTTTATAACATGTCGGTGTGACTCAGTGATGGTAGTGCTGCAGCAGTAAAGAGAGGATTTCCTTGAATTCTGTGACTCAATCTAGCAGACTCATTCAAGGAGGTGCAAGGAATCTCACACCTTAAGCCTGGTGGGCCAGAAGCACCAGTTAAACAACCCACTTGTGACTTAGGCAGTGCTGCAGGACTGAGCCCTCACCTCTGGGATCTGACACCCTCAGAGCAGGTTGTTTTGCCTGTACATGTGTTCACAGATGTGTCCTGCATCGCGACAGACAGTAGGAGAAAAGGTTTGCTTTTCTTGATATCCACTCAGCAACAGTTATCTTACTTCACAGATCTATCTGTCCTGAAGGGCCCACTTGCCCTTCGGAGAACAAGGAGGCCATTATGAGTTCTTCTGTCAGATCCACCCACCAGGGCTATATGCAAACTACTACGGAGTTCTGCCAGAAACAGCAATATTACTTTGGAATGAAGCAAAGCCAGGTTGACCGCCTCATGGTTCCAGGATGGGAGGTAGAGCAAGAGGAAGAGGGAAAGATGGATCAAATGTTGCCACTGCAATCTGTTAACAATGGATTCAAAGCCAGAGTGTGCCACCGCCACTGTGGAACTTTGAGTTTCAGCCACCACGGCTTACCTTTGTCCCCTGCAGTAACAGGACGGCTCTCCTGCCACCCAAAATGACAGCCTGCAAGTCCCAACAGCTGAGAGAAATACCGTGTGGAATAAACTAACAAGGGCAGCTGATGTGGCCTCTTGGGAGCTGTCTGCTCCTTTGTGGCTCACCTTCAGCTGCCCAGCACAGAGCCATGTCTCCTTATACCAGACCTCAGTAGGAACTACTGCCATTACAAGGGACAGAGAAAAGGGACATAAAAGTATTTCCAGGATACTCTGGCCTAAGGTAGGGGGCGCTTTGTGTGTTTAGCTGGAACTGGGTTTCTGAGAGTTCACAGACAATGCTGACTTCCCATCCCCCAAAGGTGAGACAACCAAGAAGTAATTGTGACTCTCATGGTGGATGCGGCCTACAACAGTGAGGGAGCAGCATTTCCTTGGAACCCTCACTGTCCTCAGACCTGCACCCTTTGCTGTGGGCAGAAGGCCAAGGTAAATATTCATAATTAGTCTCTAGACAGTTGTAAACTTGAGGAGGCAGAGAGTTAGGTGGGGTGAGCCTTTTGAGGTCCTCACCCCCTAGAAACTTTGATTCCTCCGGCCTGGTGATACTGTGTGTGCAGCTTTCATAACCACATCCTGGTGAATCAGAAGCAGGATGTCCTGAGATGAGACCGCCATTGAGGAACGCTGGCCTGTGATATGGGCAGTCTGTAATCCACAAGGGGTAGCAGCAAACCCACAGTTCTATGCGGTGCCTGAGCATCAAACCCTTCCTCAAGAGGGTCTCCTTGGTCACCAGAGGACTGAGAAGGAACTTAGCAATGACAGCCTGGCTTTCTGGAGGGCCTTGTCTACAGGGAGTGGAGCCCCCAGCAGATGTCTCCAGCAGGTTTGTGATTTGCCACGGCCCATTGCACATAGTAGGCATATGAGGGAGGAAGATATGGGACCAGGATACCCCACTAGAGAGAAAGGACACTCTCCCCAGGACAGTCATAACCCGGCGTCTCCGAATCACACTGAGTTTGCAGTGTCTTTCTACAGAATTCATGCGGTTTCCTGCATCTCATAATTTAACATTTGTTAGAGAGAGAAAATGCTGTTATAAAACCCAAATAACGTGCCACTCTGAGGCAGACAGCCAGCTGCTAACAAGAATGACATGTGACCATCAGTTAAACTGCTGTTCACAGCTCAGCTTCAGGAAGGAGAGAGATATTTAGTAAGAAAGAAAGTCAATACATTCTTCTCAATAGAAAACAACCTTTGGAGCTCCATGGAGTGAAAGGGCTTACACTCAGCCAGTCTCACAGTGATAAAAAACCGAAACCCCAAAAAAAAAAAAAAAAAAAAAAAAAGGAAAGGAAAGACAAGGATTTATTTAAAAGAACCTTGTCTTACTTATTTTAATAAAAAATTCATGAATACTCCTTTATTAATATCGCAAGGGAATTAAATTATTAACCATAGAACCCAAAAATCCTGTTTTCACCAAAAGACAATGGAAATGAGTCCCTCAGCGGCTGGACCTTTTCTTCCATACTGGCTAGTAGAATGACCTCCCTAACTCCCTGCAAATGATAGTTTGCCCCAGGCACACAATAAATTCCGCTAGAGAGAATGGCTGTTTAATTGTAGCAGAAGGCCTCAAGTTTTCAGTTCGCAGGAGGCCGGGGAGATCACTGGGGCACAGAGGCTTTTACAGGCCAGTCACAGCTAGCGGTAAGTTCTCCCAAAGCCCTCCACTGCAGGAGGAGCAGGGTTCACATCTAAGAACTGCTTCCACGAAATACCATAAATAAAGCCAAGAAGACACCTTGAGGTATTTGTACTATTTCAGTGTATAGCTTAGACTTTTTTTTTTTTTTTTTTTTAGGATCATATATGCACAGGTTGGAATGCCTGGACTGCATCTGAGGCCAAGGTTGTTGCTCAGGGGACCAACACCACCAATAAGCAGGAGGACCAACGTGTACATTCTGTAGCCAGGACGGCCACTATCTTTCACAACAGCTTATTATAAATTTTAGAGAGAATTGGAAGAGAGAACCAATAGGCTGACAACATGAAGAACAGATCAGAGTTTGTGAAGAAAATAATCCTAATTATTCTCATCATACATTACACACTGTATACTCCTTTCAAAGGACCACAGTGTGACCCGTTTTTACAATTCACTCAATATGCACTTGTTGAATGAAATCTGGGAACTTCCGATGAGAACTTCTCCTTGCCTATTCCAATAGTGATTACAGAATAAGAATATCACCAGGTAGCTAGACCTTCTCAGTTTGACTCACTAAGCCCTTAAGGATTTGGCTAAAGTGGAACCTATGGACCACAAAGATCATTCGTTGCTTTTGAGTAGAATTGGGTGGACATCTGTGATTTTTCTATTGCCATTTTTTGCTGTTTTGTTCTGTTTTGTTTTGTCTTCCCTAACCATGTACACCTTGCCCAGAGGTGTTATTCCTTAAGCTATGGGGGGAAAATGGCTATGCACCTTTCCCACTAAAATAACCCGGCACACCAAATAAATACTGCCACATGAAGTGTAAATCACATAAATGCCAACTCCATGGGAGGACTTACCCAAAACCATTCCTGCTTCAAGCTCATTCGTGTAGGCTGGAGTCCACTCTGCTTCGCTCAGGGTCTACTGCAACCCTACTTTTGAAGTTGCAACGCAGCGTCTTTCATTCTGCTCCAGGATGCTGCAGTCTAACAAAACCAAACACCAAGTCAGAGTTGAAAATGCCACTTCAAGCAGTTAGTGAGGATGCAGGGGAAATCCCTGAGTGCTCTCAGTGTCTATCTTATAATGTCAAGCGAGCATGTCAATCACCCGAACAAAGCTATCACACATCCTATCTACAGTGGTGTCCTAAAACCCTGGAAAGAAAGAAAGAAAGAAAGAAAGAAAGAAAGAAAGAAAGAAAGAAAGAAAGAAAGAAAGAAAGAAAGAAAGAAAGAAAGAAAGAAAGAAAGAGAAAGAGAGAGAGAAAGAAAGAAAGAAAGAAAGAAAGAAAGAAAAAAAGAAAGAAAAAAAGAAAGAAAAAAAGAAAGAAGAAAATAGAGGAAATGAAGAGAAAGACTATACAGCAAGCCATACTGGAGAAAATAGTATTTTTCAGTAGGCACGTGCTTAGAAAATTTCAGTTTACCAACTGAATGAAGGAAAGGAAAGCTTCTCTAGGTTTGAATAACTAAACATAATAACTTCTAGGAATCCCTGGTAGAAATTAGTGGAAATGTTTAAAGATTTACTCCTTCCGCATGGGAGTGCTGAGTGTGGTGGTGTGCACCTGGAATCCCAGCCCTGAGGAGGAGGAAAGAGGAGGATCAGGAGATCAAGGCCAGCTTGCCCTACACCTCGAGCTTCTGTGTTTAAAAACACCTTCCCCTGAGGTCCTACTATCCTGAAACATTTAGAAATGAACATGCTAAATTAATCTGGCTACTTTCTTGGCTCTTTGTCACACACACAAAAAATAATTTCCAAGAATGTCTTACTGCTTGAGCTATGGGGGAAAATGGCCATGTACGTTATTCACCAAACTATTCCCACACATCAAATAAAAATACTGCCACATGTAATCAAACACATGTAAATGCCAGCACCAAGGGGTGACTTACCCCAAACCATTTGTTTCAAGCTCACTCGTGCTTGCATGAACATTCATCTGGTTGTTGAGCAAATATTTTTAATATAGAGATTTTAGGATATAACAAAAAAAAATGATAGCATGCAAGAGAAAGGAAATTTCCATTTTGCACTACAAATGAGTGTGATGGGTTTTCCCCACCTGCTCTTGATAAACCCGATAAACACCATCTCCTCATGGGGGGGGGGGGGAAGCGCTGGTTACTGTACGGAGTGGGTATGGAACGAACAGTAAAGGTACTCATGCCTCTCCGCCCTGACTTGGAACAGCTGATGAGGCCTACACTAGGCAGCCATTCGAGAAAGTTCTTTTCCTGTACAAGCTGTATTTAAAGGTCTCTTGTGCCCGCTTTGGTTCCAGTTTCCCCCAAAGCATGGTTAAACCCGAACTGTTCTGATTTTTGGCAGTGGCCACTTGAGAGTGTGAGGGCCAACATCAAAGGCTTTGCAGTAGCTGTTCTCAAGGCCAGCTAGGGGTGTTACCTAGTGCTGAGCATGGTGGCTGCATCAAACTGTATCTGTAATCCTGGGTGTTGGGGAAACGGACTGCCCCTCCCCCTTCCACACCTTTATACAGCTAGCGTGGTCAGCCAGCATGTGGACAGGCATGAGAACTGAAGTTGGCCTCCACAGGAAAAGACACAAAGACCAAGCATGGTGGTGCATGGCTGCAGTCCTTACAAATCAAATCACCACCACAAATTCAAGGCTGCTGTAGTCTACACTGCAAGCTGAGGTTGGCCAGCACCGCATAACCAGAGTTCAGGAGTCTACCTCAAAACAACAGTGACAACAAAAAGAAAAGAAAAAAAAAGAATCTCAATGACTTACTTTCTTTGGCTGGAATTTGAATAAAGAAAAAAACAAAGGTCGCTAAGACATCACAGAGGCAATTGGGGGCCAGGTCCCCAGCCATCGCACACGAGGACCCCTTAACCTGTTTCAGCTCCCACATTTTGACCTTTGTGTCATGGCTCTCCACAGGCACCATATGGATGAGATTAGATCCTCCCCTACCCCAACAGTTGGCTATAATGAAACCGACCTGTTTTGCATTACCAGTTCCCTTTTTAGAATATAAGGAAGCCGAGGCGATGCCTGGTTACTGCATATGATATTAAGCTCTATGAATCTCAGAAGGCCCCGGGATGATCAACAAAGCTGTGGTCCCATGACACACTTAACCTCTCCTTGTATCCCTAGGTCAGGGGCATAACTAATGCTCTTTGTTTTCTTGAGACAGGGCCTCAAGTATTCCTAGAGCTTACTGTGTAGCAGAGGATGACCTTGAACTTCTGATCCTTGTCCCTCCGATGTGTAATCCCTAGTGCTGGGATTACAAGGGTGCACTACCTTGCTCAATATATGCTGTACTAAGGATCAAACCCAGAGTATCTTGATGGTTTGTTTTGTTTGTTGTAGTTGTTGTTGTTTCTCAAGACAGGGTTTCTCTGTGTATAGCCCTGGCTGTCCTGGAATCACTCTGTAAACTAGGCTGGCCTTGAACCCACAGAGATCCACCTGCCTCTGCCTCCCAAGTGCTTGCATTAAAGATGTGCGCCACCACCGCCCAGCTGCCCAGGCTATCTTGAATACTGAACAAACCCTTCACAACTGAGCTCCGCCCCCAGTCCCATAACTGAACCTTTGAAAGACTTGGCAGGCTATTGCTTTATGGAACAGTCAGAATTTTCTAAAGGACTTTCAGGGGGTGTGGTTAAATTCATGCAGACAATTCCAACTGCTGAGAAGCAGAGAGTGTGGTTCTTGGTTAATGTTCAGTCAAGTGAATCAGGGTCAGTGCTGTGCAATGAATGCGCGGTCTGAAAGTACATCTGACAGGAAGCAGAAATGCCCCCCTTTTTTTTTCTAGATGATATGGATTTACCCCCACCCCAAAAGTGGGGTTAAAAGGCTGCCATACCTTTTCTGAACAGTTTTCATAAACTATACCTTACTTCCTGCCTCTGGGAGGTTGTATAGTGGTGACAGTGACAGAAATCAAGATAAGCCTGCAAGTTCTCCGAAAAACTGCCTTGGGAAAGACAGAATATGCAGGGGAAAGGAGGAAGGACCTTAGGCTCACAACAAGTTACTCTCGGTCATCAAACTTTTTTTTTTTCTTGAAACTAAAAATAGCTCCCTGCTTTTCTCCTCACTGCTACCAACTTTGTTGGGTCTTTTAGAATTGGACAGGATCTCCGCCACTTCATTTAACTTGTACATTGAATCTGCCACCTGCCTTGGCGAGGGCCATATACACCTTAAAGTCACAAAGGAAGTGAGTCAGGGCTCTGACTAGACTCTGGGGTGAACTATTTATGCTAATCAACTCATTTTCTTTTTTCAGTTTTACTCTGTCTTATTTTGACACACAATATTATTTTGATAGCCCAGGCTGGCCCGGGTCTCCTCGTGCAGCCCAGCGTGTCTCCTGAGGGCTGGGGTTATAGGCAGGCAGCACCAGCCTCACTTTTCCACTTTTAAAGGATATTAAAATCATTTAATGTAATAGAAAGTGGCTTTAGACCAAAAAAGCTCACCAGTAGCCGAACCTTTCTATTAATGCACAGGACTTAATTTTCAGATTTGCTTTTGTCCTTAGCAAAGAAATTCATTTCCGGATTACATTCCTGTCTATGAACAAAATCTATTTGTGTTGGGGGAGGGGTTGGGGATTGGGGTAGTGGAAGGGGACCTTCACTGGCTGCCAAAGCTACACATCTGGAGACTGGAGAAGCAGTGCTCATGCTATCTACAGAGAGAGAGAGAGAGAGAGAGAGAGAATTCATCCAAGAAGACAAATCTCCATTTTTCTCCATCCCACTGGGCATGAAGTTAAAAATGATTCATCTTTGTGATTCCCAAACGATCCTCATTTACATACACTGGGATAGGCAGCAAAAGAAAGCCAGGAGCTAGGCAAAGTAGTACATAGTTACAGTCCTAGAAAACAAAAAGGAAGGCTGAGGCAGGAGGACTGCTCTGAGTTCTACTTAGTTCTACCTGAGCTACCTAGTGAGCAGCAAGTCAGTGAGGACTGTAGAGTAAGACTTTACCTGGAACAAGCAAGCAAGTAAGTAAATAAATAAACACAACAAACAAAACCTTCCGAAACTCCCTTTAAGCAAAACTTGCCTAAGTTGGGGCTGAGGTGACAGAGTGACAGAGTGCACGCTTGTACATTCTCAGCACTGCACAGCCAAGAAAAGTATCGTTTCCTATTGCCCAGGCTCTATGCATGCGAGCGAGCACTCTGCTGTGAGGCCACACCCCCAACTCTAAGGCAAAGGAAATCCAATCTGTTTCCTTTCTCCATCGCAGTCCTCAGCAGTAGCACCGCCAACTGATAAACAGGCCTTGAGTTTAACCTCGCTGACAACCTGCTCTTGTCTTCTGTCTGCTGTCACTGTAAATACTAATAGAGGGGCTGGGCAGGGAGCCTCGTGAGTTTACTGCTTGCCCAGCATTCACAAGCCCTGGGTTTCTCCTCAGCACCGCGTAAACGGGATACAGTGGCACATGCCTGTCACCCCAGCACTCAGAAGGTAGAGGGAGGCGGAGCAGAAGTTCAAGGTGCCCTTTGACTTCAAAGTGATTTTGAAGCCAGTCTGTGTTGCATGAGACTCTTTCAAGAAAACAAAGAAAAAACAACAACCGTACAAAACAGAACAAAATGCAAACATGTCAGAGTCCCGAGGTTGGAGGCTGGGGATGGGAGGAGAAGCAACATCAGTAGGCATGCTTGCATATGTGACTAGAAGCCGAGTACGTACAGGAATCTCTAGAACGTGTTCAGGTTTCATAGGCATTTGGGGGATGCTTTTCTGGAGGGTCATGACCAAGGGATACTATGTCAATATAAGCCAAACACAAAAACCTTGCCACTGTGAAACCTATTCACCGACCTTGGTCTAGCTGGATAGAGTTTGCAACTAAAGTCCTGCCTCCAAGGCAGGATTTGTTCCTAATGTATCCAATAAAAGTTCCTGAAATTAACTGTGATTTATAAGTCAAGTTGTTTTGCATATATTTGAATATTCTAATACCAGCACAA